ATTTATCTTAATATATGAAGTCTGCTTATGTTCGTGTTTATCATTATTACCGTTATTATTATCATTATTGTTCCCCCGACACATTAGATATTCCTTTTATATCTTCTTATCCTTCTTAACATATTTAATTCCTGACTGTCCTTTGAAATTAATTGTGACTTTCATAGCGTCATTCTTAATTATTATTGCACATATGTTTATATTAATATCCGGTTTCACTCTGTATACTATTACATAAATCTACATGGTATTTATCCGAGTGCATTAAAGGATTTTTAGTTTATTTTTCTAAATTGTTGGTTTCCTTCTGAGGTTGATATTCATTACGCAATTATTATTCTTATCATGGATGAACCTTTTCACTAGGTGTTCACTTCTTTTCTCTCTCTTCTTTCCCTCTAAATAAATATTATTCCTAAGGTTATGAAGTTTGTAATTAAGACAATAACTTGTGTTACACTTAAATTAACTTCTCAGACCCGTTTTACCTTCACTATGCATATATGACTCATACATATTGATATTTTATTATCCTTTCCACTCAATTGAGACTTTCATCGCATCACTCCAAACTATAACTGCACAAACATTTATTCTAGCGTCATATCTTACTGCAATTATAAGTTGTTTTTTTTCTTATTATATTTTGTTACTAATTTGACGATATATACATAGCCCTTTGTTCTTGTTTTATGTTCATAAACACGCCTGTTAAACTGTTTGCATATTTCACGTCTTATTTATTTCTATTCCCTTGTTTTCTCCATTTCATTCTTTAAACTCAATTCAATATTCTTCTCAATTACACAGAACCTGATTTATCATTATTATTATTCTACTATTATTACCCTTTTTTTAATATGGCAAGTATAATGCTAACATTATTGAAAATTGTGTATTATTGCATTTTTTTGAAGAAACCCGAAATGGATTCTTCACAACACTGATGTACCCATAAGATGTTTGTGAATAATAATAATAATAATAATAACATCTTCAATTTGTAGCCTTTGCATGGACTAGTAGTAGTTCCTTGAGAGTTGCATAAAGAAATGAAATTGGATTTTCTGGAAATGCCAAAGTTTTTAATAAGCTGTTCCGATACACATCTTCAACATGTTCCTTGGTCATATTCCAGATTTCAAACCTTTCTATATAATCATTATATGTGAAAATTATATTTGAAATATTCTCAACGATTTAAATATAACTAATTCCAACGTTTCGTCCAGCTAACTTGTCTGGACTTCTTCAGGGTAATAATCAAAATCAAAATTATCAAAGAAATATATAGCTTTTTAACAATCAGGATTATACTGTGTTAAACCAATCATATTTGGATGTTGATTTTTTGTAAAATAGGATCGAATGAGTCAGTTAACTACAAATCATGTGAAGAATTCAACTACATGGAAATACTTAACTGAGTAACAAATCGTATGTGTGTGAGTGTGCAGGTATGTATGTATGTGTAAGAGATCGACATGAAGGAATAAATAAATAAATAAATAAAGTTCAAGTTCAAGGTGGAAAATTTTTTTTGATAATGAAACATCGATGTGCATGTCAAAACATAAGTTGTCCAAGTGGTTGTGTAAAACTGTCTTGTTCAGTAGATACTGTTTACGTGTTTACTTGCCAATTCTTTTTCTCGCTCGTTAGCCGTTCTTACAAAACCAGGGTTTTAACATAGCTGTTGACTGAATTTCAGTTGGTGCTTCAATCATTTTAATAATGACTGGTTATCAATTGCAAAAATCGAGTGCATCGGTTGTCGTGTACCTACAAATTCCATCTCATTATTTAGAAAATTTTTAAACACGCATTTATGAGCTAACAACCTTCTTTACGACTGGTTTATACTCATTTCTTATATTGAATTCCTTTCGTTGTGTGTTTACCACAGACTCCATTTACTACTTATATTTAAAGAAAAAGACCATCCGGTCACCAGACAGTGGTGGTTTAAAACAGAAAGTAACTGGACAATGTAGTTTCGACATGATGCTATGTGACTTAAGCAGCTAAACCATTTCCATCAACTTTGCAGTGGATATACACTAGCGATTGGCTGCAAGAAAGGTTTATTATACAAATTGAAGTTGAGTAATACGACGCTCCTATTCAAACACATATGACAGTTTCTTTTGCTCTATCGTAGACACGACTAGAAGGTAATGGAACACAATGGATATCTCGGCCATTCTCTCCCACAGGTGTAAGAGCACCTAGCTTTTCTCAGCTTAGTTTCTATCTTTCTAAACTGGCTCGGACGTTAAGAAGGGATAAATGATTCTAGTACTTTGTACACTATTTTATTGAAAATCCATATTTCTGTTACGTACATTTGCAGATTTTCCGAAGTGTAAGCTTCCATGTGGCTTATCGAGTCTTAATATATTTCCTACTGTTTATAAACTGTGGTTGTATACAAATTCTTTTTACATAGTTCTGCACCACGTATACCCTATTGATATACATATTATAATTTATTATTTACTTTGCGATCAAAATCACTCGAACTCTTAAATTGAAATAATAATCTCTGCCAGGGAAGCCCTGCTCACTGCCTTCTCGAGGCTGGGGTGTTGTTTACGAAATTTAAAGAATGAAAAGCGAATGTCCAGCGCTTTCACGGGTTGGTGAACACGGAGGATCCGTCTGGGGAAACTGGAAAACCCTGATTCCGAACCAATGGTGCACATAGGCTCGTGCCCTGAAGGAACAAATGGCGTGTGAACCAATCGTTGATCACCGGCTGCCATGGGACTGCATCTCCTGACGTTGCTCCATCGCCCTGTGGGTCAGACCTTTAGGTCAAAGGCTCCGGGTGTAGCCCCCTAGGAAAACCATCTGCTTCGGTCTGGGCACCCGGGCAGTATCCCAGTCCTCATACAAATCGGATGGTTTGTGTGGCGCATATCTATATGGTGGCTCCTTGTGCCAATTTTTATGTATTGAAATAATAATAATTAATATACAATATGTAGACGGGTGAGCTTTCGATTATTAAAGTATACAGTGACTGTTGGAGTAGAGTTTGATTCCTAGCTGTTTGGAGAGCGGGTTCTAAGTTTTGTAAAACAACGTCATTGTTTAAGATCATTTGCATGGTTCAGACAGGATAGGTTTACTAGGCCAGTTAAGACCCATCGGAAAATTAGATAAACGGCCTGGACTAAGTTTATTAACAAATAATCAATGCAGTTAACCATACACTGAGTTTTTTCAGAGATCTGTATATCTTAGCAATACTACCAAGAAATAGGAAGCGTGGGTGCGGTTCGGTGCCCGGGATCGGTGATTGTCTTCATTCGTCAATTCATTGATATGATATTTCATATCTACAGAGGGCATACGATCCGTTTGATCTAATGAGTAGACTCAGAGTGCCTACCCTAAGGAGCTTCTAATACTGAGGAAATACGACAAACGTATTTGTCCCGCTGACGTGAAAAGTTGACACTGGATGGTCATTGGTATACTGTAAGCGATAACGCTTTCACTTGAAGTTGTATGCCAACAATATTGGATACATGATTCTCTGAGCCCCTACCGAACGTGTTTTTTATTGAGAAACAAATAGAGACTTAAGTTACCAGTTTGAGCAGCAACTTTAACTCAAATTCTGTATCGCTTGTAAGCCCACAGAATTAGGTATTTTTAGACTAAATTATACAGACAATCCATCATTTCACTAATTTCACAAATCCTGAGCAACAACAACCACTCAATTTGTATATACTAACAGTTATCTACCAAATAAAAGTGATAGAAGACAGAGATCAAAAATTAAAACTATTTATTCTTCATGAATATAAAAAAGTACGAGGTATACATGACAGATTTCTAATCCCAAACAAACCAGCATGAAACCTGAAAGATTTGAGACAATATTAAGTCTAATTTTATTAAAGTATAAAGAGAACATCAGTATCAGAAAAAAAATACAAATTCATACGAAGACAAGAAAAACTACATGATTTGCTTTCCCTAAATATTTGTTCTTTACGTCAAAAATTAGGATCAAAATTATTGAGATGAGTACAAAAGACTAAAGGTACAAGCACCCATTAACAGTAAACATGGGAATATTTTAAGGTGTACGTAAGCATTTTTCAAACAACTGATATGTGCATGTAAAAAACGGATTATTTGTTATGTTTTATTAATATCACAATCAGATAATTGTATTAGGTAAGGGGCAGTAAGTCAACCAACTGCAAAGCAAGTGAAAATTTAAGCTCCATCAATAAGAAACCTAACTATTTTCTTCACTAGGTCTCTGTGACCACTTCTAAACACATCATAATAGCGAAGCCAATAAGGGCCATGACAGTTGATAGTCGGCCATGACCTCTGAAAAAATACAGAAACATAGAATTAGGATAGATATATAATTGTTATGCAAGTGATACGTTATTCCTTCATCAAGTTTCGACAAAAATGAGGGTCAAATCAATGTGTTGATTGCGAAAATTATTTCCGCTATCCAGGTTTTTGCCAATCCTAAAGAAAGTTGTAAGAGTTACTGGATAAAGAAATGAATATAAAGGTAACAGATTAAAGCATATGAAATTTTCCTGAAAAAATAACACAAAATAATAGGCTACTTGGCATCTCTTCTTAAACTTAAAATGAGAGCGACAGACAAATGCACGAGAAGACAGAACAAAAGGAGACAATAAAGTAGTGATAATACCAATAAAGTGTTACGTAAGATAGGCAACAGAAAAAATCACATACAATTTTCTGTGAACCAATGGGAAAAGACAGTTATCGATCGAATATTAAAGTACGATTATATGAATATCTAAAATGAGTTACAGATGAGGCACCAATGGTATATATGAAGACACGCCTAAGTAGGTACGAATTAGATTTACAAATAGGTGTGTTATATGAAACGCTCTTATACAGTTATCGTGAACAAGGACTTGGTGAGGAAAACTTAAGTATTATCTAATGCAAAATTACAGAATCCTTTAGTGAACTGCGAAAACCATACATTAAATACTTCATTTGCAAATTTTCCATCAATTATCCTTTACATCCTTCACGATTCTTCCGCTTCTCAATTCCTATCTGTTTCCTCAAGTTCAAAACTTATAAACCTTTTGTCAAGCTTGCACTTCTGATCTGTGTTACATAATACTTATATCTGCTAATATACGTAGCATGAAATGCGCAACTGGTGACTGAAGAGTAATTCTGGTTAACTCAAATATTCCTGAATTAATGAAATAACAGACGAATTACAACTGAACAAGATGAAAATATTCTTGTCTTATTTGTACTATATATGAATTATAATACAGAACGACACTACAAAGATACACAAATGAAACGATCATATTACGGAGAAGTAGAAAAGAAAAGAACTCCATAATTAATCAATAAATGAACAAGAGTACTACTTAGTAAGAGATACAGTCCAGTTAAAAATACATCCAAAACAAGGTTTACTTCAGTTAATAGTGTTCATTCTGCTTTAATGAAGAATGTAGTAGAAACTACACCAAAATTATCACTGACTTCTATTCTGAGTCATGTTTAATGACACTTCGAGCTACTAACTAGTACGATCTTTAAGACCACCAACCGGGAATTCACCATAGATCAACAGATGTCCGTCCAATATAACTATCTTTCATATCACGATGCCGCGTCACTGAATAACTCTGTACCTTTCAAGGTTCTTTAAATTTCAAAACGAACACTTCTGTGTGATGAATCATCTTTATTCACAGTTAAACTTTTAATGCGTCTTAAAAATACTTTGCCTTTCAGTTAGCGAACCTAACCTTCCTTGTTCAAACAATGTTTTTTTAAAAAAATAGGTCCTCATATTCATGCGCTTTTAACGCCTTCATAAGTCAAAAATATCAATAAACCCTCGACTTTTCTACTGAATTTTGAGTTACCAAATAACTGTTTAAGAATCCCTAACTCGATATATATAATATCTGTCTTGTACATACTCAAATGAATGGATTTGCTTAGAGAGAAATAGAGAGTTATAAAACAAACAATGAATTACCTGGACTGAGATTCAGGGATAATATCATCAACTACAACGAATAGCATAGCTCCTGCAGCAAAGCCTAACGCATAAGGCTGAAGTCTTCGGAAGAAATGTACGGCCAAACAACCGATAAGCCCGGCAAACGGTTCTACAAGACCGGACAATTGTCCATACCTATTTAAAAGTTACAAAAAAAGTCTTAAAAAGATTTAACGACTCCAGTACCCATAGGAAATAAGGATAGCTGTTAACTTTGTAAAAGATGTAGATAAAAGTTAAAATTGAAATCAGACATAGAAATCGGAAACGGCTTAAGCCTCAGTTCTTTTTTTTAAAATAAGGTGTACATGACCAATTGAACGAAACGGCCGTCCATTACTTCCAGGTTTTCAATGTTGGTCTAGCCAAGATCGATTCGTGAATTCAACTGTTAAAATACTACAATCTCCACAAATCCCCACTCTGATAATTCGGTTATTTGTTTACTCTGAAGAAGTGGTTTACACTAAGTCACGAAATGTCAAAAATACAAATTTTCTACTCATTGTGATATATATATATATATATATATATATATATAAATTTGAATATCATAACTAAATGCCGTTAATGCTCTTGAAATTAACTTAAAATTTCCGAAAGCCTAGAAGTGGTAAATGATTACGAATTTTAAAGATGAATGGAAACCTTCAAAAAGCACAACCTAGATAAATAAAATAATAAAAAAGTGAGTTTACCAGAAACTAATGAAAAATCCATATCCAGATGAATATAACGGTAAACTGACAGCCAAACCTTCAGGAAAGTTTTGAATAGCAATACCAATCGCCAGATTACTAATGTGGAAAAAAACAGAAATGGAAAAGTTAGTTAGAAAACAGTTTATGTACTGATAACATAAAAGCATTTAGCAAATGATGGTTAGTAGTAATATGATCTTTAAGCAATTCTTTGATCATTCACCTAGAAAGCACCACTGGAAGTCAAATAGAACTTTATTTATTAACTATATTCTAAATGTTGATTTGCATTTCGAACAAATGTAAAAAAACCAATGAATTAATAACAGTAAAAGATACTAGATATGTCAATTGCGAGTGAGTAAACGTTCATTCAAAAGGATCATGAACAGGTTCTACATTTACTATGCTTTACAGCAATACATGAAGACAAAATTGACAGTTGGAAATATCATTTCACCTTTTCCTTACTACTGAGTATGTAAAGTACAAATTACAATTATCTACAATTTGCAATCTAATAAAAAACCCAGAGTGTAGTCCCTGAAAAATGACTAAAACCTTCGAGGTAATGGCAGTTAAATATAAAATATCTTACACACGATCTAATGATATTTCGTACAACAACAAAGCAAAATGAAGTTCAGGTTGCAATTCGCAAACAGCGTGCTAGTATTCGTCATAAATCTAAAAGTTATTTAATTACAAAGGCATTTAAAAATACGTGACCCCCACTCACCACGCTTGAGAGAAAGTAGTTCTTGAATATTGTCCAAGTCCACCAAATGCAATACCAACTGCAAAACCTTCAGGTATATTATGTACTGTAATCGCCATGATTAACAACCATAAGCGACGAGTTATCACCATTTTCGGAAGTTGATTTTTTTCATTATCAACCTTTATCGATGAAGACGATGGATATGCTTGTATAGTGTTTTCAGAACGATGCCTGATGTTGGATTCCATACAACTATTTACCAAATAGTTACGTTGTTTTATAGACGTATCTACAGGTTATACCGAAAAAACAAATTTAGTAGTAGCTTGTACGTCGCCAGAGCTATTTAGAACATATGTAAATTATAATACAGCACGACACTACAAAGATACACAAATGAAACGATCATATTACGGAGAAGTAGAAAAGAAAAGAACTCCATAATTAATCAATAAATGAACAAGAGTACTACTTAGTAAGAGATACAGTCCAGTTAAAAATACATCCAAAACAAGGTTTACTTCAGTTAATAGTGTTCATTCTGCTTTAATGAAGAATGTAGTAGAAACTACACCAAAATTATCACTGACTTCTATTCTGAGTCATGTTTAATGACACTTCGAGCTACTAACTAGTACGATCTTTAAGACCACCAACCGGGAATTCACCATAGATCAACAGATGTCCGTCCAATATAACTATCTTTCATATCACGATGCCGCGTCATTAAATGATCGACTCTGCTTTTTTAACTCATCAGAGTCGGTAAATAATATGTGATGCTAAAGCCTTTGTGATGGTATTCGTAACCGATCCCCAGGCTGCCAGCAGCAATATTTCAAAAACGTGACATCGGTTGAGTTTTCGTCACTGTGTACGCTGTCTGACCTGAGGGTTACTGACATGGTGTTGCGTTGGATATAAGCTATCTTTGAGAAACAATGGTGGTCAGTTACAGTGAGTCACAAAAAATCTTAAACCTAGAGGTATCAGATTAAACAAGTACGAAGCGAAAATGCTTTAGCGAAGAGATGTAAACCCTACGTTTTACAAACAGAGACGACCTAAATTGTTAGTATTTATGCGTGACTTCATTTTATGTAGATTGATTTTACTAATCATAGCACCATCAGCACTTTCACAAAAATACAGATCAACTAATATTCGAATAACTCTAACAACCCATCACAAAGAGTGAGTGTAGAAGTATAATTATTTCAGTTTGGTAAAGTACGCTGCGTTTCAAAGGTCCAAAGTGTGCCACGCGTATACGGCCTCTGCCAGAGAAGTCCTACTCATTGCCTTCTCGTGGTGGGCGTGTTGTCTACGAAAATGACAAGACGAAAAGCGAATGTCAGACGCTTTAACCGGATCACAAACCAATGGTGCACATGGGCTCCAGTATCCTGAGGGAACAAATGACGTATGAACCAATTTTCGGTCACCGACTACCATGGGACTGCATTTCCTCACGATGCTCCACTGCCATGTGGGTTAGACCTTCAGGTCAAAGGCTCGGGGAGTGGCCCCGTAAGATAACCACCTGCTTCGGTTCGGGCACCCGGGCAGTATCACAGCCCACACGCAAATGATGAACTCTCTATATCTATGGAAACTACTTTTCTCGCTTCGAATAACAATCAAATGATTTAAATTATTATTATTATTTACTACGACATCATTCACCCTCTTTTATTCCTACTCTGTCTATACTTATTTTTTCAACAGCAGCTCGTCTTTGGTGGAAATTCGATACTATCTAAACGTTCTCGAATCACTGTCCGGTTGAAAATTGTGTGTTACCACCGAATATGAGTGCTGAAGCAGTTTTTCTTAAACCACGTGCGCCATACAAACTGGCTGCCTTCAACGTTCGCACACTTATACAGGTCGGACAACAGATAGGGCTGGCTGTATTTAGAAAGGTTTAATATCGACGTTTGTTGTTTATCCGAGACCCGTGTTCAAGACTCTGGTGAAGTACTACAAATTCGCTCTCCATCTGTCGCTTCAAAGAGCTTGTTTTACATGCGTTCATCCAGGGACCCTGTGGCATTTTCGTATGATCTTGCTGACGTTGGTGTCGCACTAAGTCAGTCAGCTACAACGTAGGACCAGGCACATATATGCATCGGTCCAGGTTGCCATACCTCATTAGCACAGCAAGATGAACACCGGATTCATAGGTCAGTGGTGGTAATATATAAAACAAAGATTGCAAATAAAGACAGTACAGGAAGAAAGAATTAGTTAGTAGAAAGAAAGATATGAAGTGATTTTAATCTCTTAGTTTAAGGGAAGACAGGGAGTGTATGCACCGACGCCATTGTGATCGACTTTGAGCCATGTCACTAAGAGTCTCCAACCATCGGTTACGACAGTCACGCGGACCCCAACCAAGTAGTCTGCATCTACCAACATGGCTCAGACTAGAAGTTAGTGACTTCAAGCACTGATGCCACGTTTTGGTTTGGACGCCCCTAACTTTCTTCCAACCATCTCCAATACCGGATAGCATTGCACGTCGTGGTAGTCGGTGTTCAGGCATACGTACCACGTGGCCCAACCATCTCAGTCGATGAAGATTCATAACCTCATCAACTGATTTACCATCATTCCCTAATACCCTGCGTCTAACCTCGCTATTACTTACCCGGTGATCCCAGCAGATGCCAGCAATATTTCTAAGGCGTCTGTGGTCAAATACTAGTAGCTTACGAGTGTCTTCCACTCTTAAGGGCCATGTTTCGCTGCCGTAAATTAAAACAGAACGAACTGCCGCGCAGTATACTCGTCCTTTTATTGATAGACGGATATCTCGCCTTCGCCAAAGGTGACGCAAGTTGGCAAAAGCCAAACGAGCTTTTCGAATCCGTGCTGAGATTTCGTCAGACACCAACCCATTAGGGCTGATCACACTTCCAAGATAAGTGAAGTTGTCAACGCGTTCGACTACTTCACTCCCTATCCTTAGTTCAGGTGTTAACGCAGACCAGTCCTGAAGCAACAACTTGCATTTAGAGGGAGAGAAGCGCATCCCAAACATTCTGGCATTGTTGCTTAGTGCTACCAGAAGACTCTGCATTTTGTCAGCGTCTTCACCAAACAGGACAATGTCATCTGCGTATTCTAAGTCGATAAGTGGACCTCCTGGAAGGAGATCAATACCCGAGAATTCAGTCGACGAGAGTGTTATTTCCATCAATAGGTCTATGATGAAGTTAAACAAAAATGGAGAAAGTGGACAGCCTTGACGGACACCACTTGAGGTTGCAAAAGTAGATGACAGTTCGCCATAAGCCCTGACTCGACTAGTAGTGTTCGAGTAAAGAGCCTTCACAAGGTTTATGTACTTCTGAGGTACGCCTTTCAATGACAGACACTGCCACAGAGTCTCGCGGTCTACCGAGTCAAATGCTGCTTTTAAGTCAAGAAAGACCACCATTGTAGGACGCCGATAGGTATGCCTGTGTTCTAGAACCTGACGAATGGTGAATATGTGGTCGATGCAGCCACGACCAGGTCTAATGCCAGCTTGGTTCTCTCGAGTTTGTAGTTCACGAGTCTTAGTTAGGCGTTTGATAATTATCGAGGCCAGTATTTTAGATACTATGTTTGTTAAACTAATCCCTCTGTGGTTGTCACAGGATGATTTTGACCCTTTCTTATATATTGGGACGATAAGTGATTGCGACCAGTCAGATGGGATAAAGTCTAATTCCCAGATCTTAGCTAAAATATTAGTCAACTTAATCGCTGAAATTGGACCACCATCCTTAAAGACCTCTGGAGCCAATCCATCTGGACCAGCTGCCCTTCCTCGTTTCAGATTAACTATAGCCTTTTGAACTTCAGCAAGAGTAGGGGGACCTATTTCAATGTCCCATTCACACTGTCTGGGAATGGAGGGTAGTTGTAGAGTAGCTGAAGGCCAGCTGAACTGTTCTCTAAAATGTTCCGCCCATCGTTCTAAACGTCTGGACTGGGAGCAGATGAGAGTATCATCTTTTTCCGAAATAATCTCACTTACACTTGACTTACTAATTCCAGTTTCTTTTATTAGTCTGTAGAGCTGTCTTGTGTTCCCTATAGTCGCCGCCTTTTCCATCTCTTTTGCTTTCGTTACCCACCACTGCTCACGGTCGTGTATTAGACTTTTTCTTAACTTAGATCTGGTTTGTTGTCGCTCTTCATCATGTTCGGAACCTGATGGGATGAGTTTGCGAGAATCCATCAGTGTGATAGACTTTGAAGAAATCCACTGGTTCTTTGTAACTCTGTGGTTTAAGTCACTAGTAGATTTCATTGCTGTTTCCACAGCTGTTTGTATATCTTTCCAAGCAACATCTGGGTCAGCCTCGTCTTCAGAACTACCTAAGTGTGATCTTAGTTGTTCCTGGAACCTACTTTTGGTTTTCTCGTTACTCAACTCAGTTCTAATTGGTCTTTCGCTACTCAGTTCGGTTTTAATGGGTCTTTTTACTGTGGTGATTTTGCGTCCAGTGAGGCGCAAGCAGATGCGTGCCCGTATTAGGGCGTGGTCGGAGTCCAAGCAGGTACTCCAGAATGAGCGACAATCCTCTACCGACCCTCTCCAACGATGACTGATGGCAATATAGTCTATTTGAGTCCATCGTTGGTTTGGTGTAGGGGGTCGCCATGTTAGACGATGTCTCTCCTTATGCTTAAAATTTGTTTGCTAAAAACAAACGATTGTCTGAGCATAGTTGCAGCAGACGATCACTATTATCTGTTCGTTGTGTCGGTATACTAAAATACCCACCTAAATGCCTTTCTGTTTGGCTTAAACTACCTACATGGGCATTAAAGTCACCTGCTACGAGTACTATGTCTGAACGTTTAGCTTTCTGAAGAAGGTCAGATAGCTTTCTGTAAAATTCATCTCTCACATCATCTGAGCTGCAGTCGGTGGGAGCGTAGGCAGAAACGACAAAAAGGCAACGACGTGTGTCCCTATCCTTCCGAGTTCTTACGGAGCCGTTTAGCCGAACAGGACATAGGAGACTGTTGTCGGGGATCCACTCTAACAGTGCTTGTTCCACCCTCACGCTCAGGGCTATCCCTATTCCTGCCAGTCCACGAGAGCTGGCCATCGGGTCACCAGATACACGGAGGGTGTATCTCGTTGGCTCTCTGTTTTGCCGAGGTGAGGTCAAATGAATGACCACACTGGGATCCTGTATGTGTGTTTCGGAGACACAGCACACATCAATGGTACGAGATCCTAAGGTTTTAGCCACTAGAATCGTTAGCTATGGTGACACTTGA